CACAAATCCAAGCAGCTGCCAGTAGCACTTCCGAAATATTACTTCTTTGTTGCGCACTTCCAGCCAGCAGAACATGTGCATTTTCAACCTTGAAATACAGGTTAGAACAATATGATCGATGAAATAAAAATGAACTGACCAGTAAAGCCATTTGCGAAACAGAAAAATGCCGAATAGATTCCACTCGTACAGTAACATCTTGAATCTGAAGAATAAAAATGTAGATACAGTTGGACCACAGCCCAAAAACCGGTCATTACACACCTGTTCCGCAATTTTTGCACCATGTTTTGTGCCTTCGACCTTCGTTAGCTCAACTAGCACCGAAATGTACCTCAAACATAACTTTTGGGACGTAAAAGTCAAATCAAAGCCACAGAAAATGCAGAGCATTTAAGAACATACCATTCAAAGTTCGTAATAAACTGGTAATTGTTGTAGCTACATATTCCGATAATTCTCGTCAATAACTCATCCCTGAAGGAAAAAATGCAAAAATTCATCAAGAGATAGTAATGCCGACAAAAACGCACCTGTAATGTGAGCCCTCAGCCGATTCGACGTGCTCCATCAACTTCTTTACAATCTCCATAATGTTCTTTTTGGATACCATGCCATATAAAAGATCCAGGGACCTGTAAAATCAGCATTTCTCTAGAAAACGGATGGAGAAGTGGTAAATCCGAAATAGAAACTTAGCAGTCGCAGCTTACCTTAATCGTATACTCTCATCCTTATCGTCGAGACACCGAAGAACGATGTCTTTGTGTGCCTGCACTGCTTTTGGGTGTGTTTGTAAGATCTTTCCCATTGCCAGCAATCCCAGATACTTGAGATTTTGATCAGAATCTTCGATCAAAACTCCAAGTTTTTGCACGCAAAGCTACAAAACACACAATAATGAAATGACTAGAACAGTATGAGGACTACCTGTATGCTTGCAGCATGATCTCCTCCCGCGGATATGCTGATCAAGACTGCAAGAAGAGTTGGACTAGTAAAGGTTCAAAACGACATTAGTTGTAACATACCAGCAATCACAGTATTGATGCATTCGTATAGCAGTGACATTGCAGATGTGCTGAAATTGAATACTACATGGTAAACAAGAATAGACGAAGCTTCCTTAACAGGACAATCAAGGTTATTCAGATAAGACAAATGAGAACGTGAGGAAAGACTGAATTGCGACAATGTACCTGTTAATGAGATTCGTAAGCGGCTCGAGAAGTTTTTTACCAAGACGAGGTTCTAGAGGCACAAGTGCACCAAACTAAAAACAAGATTGATCGAAATGGAGTCGGAGATATACAGCAATCCAAAAATAGTGAAATAAAAAAATTGAAGAGATGAAATAACAACGCTTACCAGTTTGATAATTTTTATCAACATCCAGTTGTTGCTTGATGTAGTCATAAGTTTGAAGAATACAGGAGCTAACGTTAAGTAATTTTTTGGATTCTTTCTGGCCAGCTCACAGATCACATTCACGGCTGCACTCTGGACGCCTATAATCAAACACAAGAAAAATTGCTACAATGAATTGCGATTGAGTATCTGAAAGACATCCAGTGAACTAGGAATTAATGAATTTCAACGAAAAGATGCAGACGGACGAAAAATAATTGATTTATAAACATTTTGCTCACCTGGATCCGGATCCTCCAGCTTGTCCTTTAATCTTGGAAAGGTAGGCCTCAATGCTTCTGGGTATTTGAGAAAGATTTTGTAAAGCAACAATACCGCCCGTTTTCGAGTGTACGGCCGCGACGAAGATAGCTGAAGGAATTTCATGAGCTGGATCAAAATGCAACTTCAAAAAATTGTTCCAAACTTGCTATCAACTCACCAGATTTACTATGTCACTAGCAAGATCTCTCGCCAGATCTGGGGTAACGAAGCAGGATAGCCCGCCAAGTGCAACGCCAGAATCATAGATATTCGTACTGGAAGGCATCAATATGATAAGGTGTGAGAAAACTTGTGAGCTTACCTGTTCAAATCTTTTCTTATCAAGTTTGTCGTCAGCATCAATACGTCTGTTGTATCATGAAAACACTGTGCTGCAGCCAAATAACTAAATTTGTCACATCAGCCTGTCCGAAAACCAAGAAATCGAAGGTTGTAAAACAAACCCTATCCTTTTCTCTGTGTATTTTGTGGACGCCATTACTTCGATGATATTGAAAGCTGCCCAAGAAATGTCGTAGCCAAGCATTTGAAGCTGAAATGGATAGGACTCATTCAGCGATATGTGACATATTGTACCTTTGCGCGAAATTGCATCGAAATCGCTCGAAGAATCAAAATCAAAAATCAATCGAAATCACTCAGACTATTCACCGGAACTTCCGCAGGACAAGCCAGATTTGCAGAA